CCCCCCCCCCCCCCCCCGGTTCATCACCTTTGTATAGACTTCTCTATTCCTTACCTAATATAACAACACCAAAAGCAATGAATAGCATCTTTATGTTTCCAGAGAGAAGGACTGATATAATGTAGGACACAAGTGGGAATAAAAGAAGCAAATGCCAGGCAAGTACAACAAAAATATTGTGGAGTTTACGTGGATAGATAACTCTTGGTGCTGGGAATTCCTTGTGCTCTAAAAAGTGCCCCAATGCTTTATCCTATAACAGAAAACACCAACTGTTATTCATTGTACCATACTGTAGTTAATGTGCGATGTACTGCACATTATGTGTATCACAGGTTATAGCATGTAATTGTACAATTCTAATCAGATTGCAGATATAACTACCTTCTCCTGGTAAAGCTGCCTACACCAGTCAGATGTTTCTTCAATAGAACCAGTTGGGATTGCACTGACTGGAATGCGCCTAAAATATTAAGTACATATTTAAGAGACTTGAACAAACTAAAACAAAATAGTGAGACCTTGCCAAAACTATCTAAATGTACAGACCATGACAACACATGCAAATGATAATGATAGTGATGATGATGATGGTGATGATGATGGTGGTGATGATGATGGTGATGGTGATGATGGTGATGCTGCTGCTTGTTAACGATGATGATGATGATGGTGGTGATGATGGTGTTGATGATGGTGATGCTGCTGCTGCTGCTGACGATGATAGGTGTTGGATGATTAATCTGAAGTAGAGATGATTAATCTGAAGCCCTTTAGGTCTGCTTCTGATGATATGTGATGTTGATGAGGAGGAGTGTAAAAAGACTAGTATGGTTACCGTATCAATAGATGGACTTCAAAACCCTCTCCCAATAGAAGTTTTCTCATAGTTGGTTCACTCCCAGGAGGAAACCCCATCTCCATGTCATACACAACAGGAACTAAAAGAACAAAGTTATCATAAATAAGTAAATGCATTTAAGGGTGTCAAGGGTGGCATAGTGGTAACACATTAACCTTTCACCACTGTAAGTCCTACTGGTCTGTTTGTTTGTTCAAGTCCATGCTGACTTCACATATGAATAGAGCTTGTTTGATGTTGTTCTCTTCCTTGCCATTAGGGTTTTTTTCCCCAGCTTCAAATCAACATTTGAGTTGAGAGTTGTGTGCTTAGGATATCAAATATAGTGGTAGTGAGTGTGTCGTATACTTAAACATTAGCCTCTGGCTAGGAAGACTCGGCAACGACTCCCTGTATCACAACCCTGTTTCTAATTTTATTTATTAAAACATTAAATAGTTTTTTGATGCATGGGCATGATGGTGTAGGTAGAGCTAAAGCAACCTACACTTACGTTTATCTTTTAGGTGATGAGCAGTGATTGCAAAGCCTCGTGGTCTAGGAAGTAGGTGGTGATGTAATATGGGTAAGCCAGAATTCTTTGCATATTCTATACTTGCTTCTAACTTTTCATCAGTTATCCGGGTACCTTCTGCAAATATGGCAATCTGAAGAATGATTGATATGCAACGAGGAGCAGATGAGCTTCATTATATTACATGGAATGTTAATTTAGTTCCAGAAATCATCCATACCCATCCTACAGAGGAATTTGGAATTTTCAAAGAGTAGGGGAGTCAGAAAAAGAACAAAAATTTCGAAGTTTGTATGGAAGAAAATTGGAATTTCCGGGGGGTAGGGGGGTGTCTTAAGAAAATTCCTCTGTGAGGGGGTATGGATAATTTTTGGAACTACACAATATACCCCTTTACATTGTGAATAATGTTTTCCCATTTTAGACCTTGGATCATTCTAAAGAGTATCATTTCTTTGTTTAACAGTTGCACATGAAAAGACACATGAATATGGACTCAAACAAACTTCTTCTCAAGAGAATGACACATGGTCTGAAATGGGTAATCATTATTCACTGGAAGACAGAGATCTATTGCTAGTGCTAGTGCTAAATTACTAAACATAAAACTAATAGTAAATCCTGACATCAAAACAAACAAATCATACTTACCCAAAATGGATAAGGAAAATCCTCTAAAGTCTGCAAGCTTCTTTCTAAAACTGTCTTGTCGTGTTTCCAGTTACGACTAACAAATGCATACTCAGTACTCCACCAGCTAATACCAAGAATTGGTAAAAATTTTAAATACCCTTTCATAAAACACTTTGTACCCTGAACAAAAGATAAATGTTTTAAACATTATTATTAATCATTTTGTAGAAATATGATTTTATTTTATCTTTTTATATAACTTTATTAACGATACTTTAATTGAAAGAAAATAAGATTGATATGGCCATGGATCTCAATAAAAGATGACTTCTTTTCAGGGTACAATAAGATTGTGATGTAAAGACTACAAGACTACCAGATTATTCTTACTCCTAAAATTCCTGCTCGATCAGCCATTATCCAGCCTATCAACCAGTCGACATCACTGCGATGGTTTGCAAGACAAATACCACTCTCAGAGCCAAGCTTGTCATAATCTTCTTTATTGCCATACAGTTTAATGTTAACACCTCCCCACCACTCTGCCAGAAATGTTAATTCTGTAGAAACAAAAAGGTTAAAATATCCAAATGAATTATATTAAATAAATCATAATCTAGTTTTTGGAACCTTGGAATTGCATGGACTGCAGAGAGCAAACCTGTAACATCAGTACAAATGTCAACGATGAAGATCAAGGTGTATAGATGGTAACACCACATTCACCTGAGTGATTTACTGTGCTGTACTAAACATTGTATGATCAATGTTTGATATATACACATATAAATATATGCAATCAATTGAAGAATCGTCGTTGGGTTCAGAAACATAGAACATAGAAGCTGAGGCCGAAATGGCACATGGGAAGAACGTTAATTAGATGCATGCTGTGACCAGCGACCCTTGGCATCATTCACTGTTTTTAATATGCGTTTGGCATTCTAAACCGACTGCATGGATGGCGCAAATGAATAAATTTTAATAAATGATATGTCATTTCCCATGTGTCATTTCGATCTAAGCTTCTATGTTCTATGTTTCTGAACCCGACAACGATACTTCAATCAAGTGTATACTTTGAATTTGTTAAATTTGTTAACATAGAGCATTTTTCCAAAGAGTGCTCGACCAGATAGGAACAGTATATAATATTTATAAATATATTATATACTGTACTAAATATATATGTAACACACTATTTTCTATACATAATTGGTTCACTAGTCAAACACAAATCGCTCAAGCGAGGCGCCAAGGTACTTTGAGAGGTATTCAAATTTGAACGTTGCAACCTTGACTGAATGCTATGTATTTGACCAGTGAACCGCTGTATGGAAAAAGGTGAATATATTGAAGTACTATATAGAAGTACACATTAAACTACTTACGACACCAGTGTAAGTAAACAATTCGTAGGTTGAGCCATCTATAAAGTGTTTTGTTGATGAACCACAAGGGAAGTAAACTAAGCTGTATTATATTTATTATTAGACCACTGACTAGAAACACAAGCACAAACCACAGCCAAGCGCCGGGCAGCATCTTGAGTACATATAAGATCTGATCTAGAACGTCCATGTTCGATCTGCAAGGGAGGAGGTTGTAATTTGATCAGTTCCAGCATGATTTGAGGGACGACTAATACAATGGCTGATCATGACCATTTCACTAATAAAAATACGTTAATGTGTTAAGAATGACTTTGAGATTTAGACTTTTAGATACCTGGATAATTTTTTGGTCGATACACGAATTGAAGAAACGTGTAACTGTAGTTGGCTCAATTTGTTCTTCTAATGGTTTTAGTCAGAAACCATTAATTCTTCAAGCAATCGCGACTTAATTCTGCCAACTTATGCCATCGATCGCATCGTACTACTAACAACTATCAATGAACAAGCAGAGGAGGCTATCTCGTTTGAGCTAGTTGTATTTATAACCGTAGAATGAAGGATCAAACAATGGTACACAATAACACTCACAGTATGAAAGAACGTTTGGTGGTCTGATTATTGAGCAACGCCGCTGAACGACCCCGTGTTGTATCCCCAGGGGGGTGGGATGCGGAAGCTGCAGTAAACGTCTTTCATTGTAACCTGTATGTCGTTTGAGCTATTCACATAACTAGTAGATAGTCAACCGCTCTTTACTTGAAATTGCTCGTTGAAGCTTTAGCGATGTAAATAACAACGATCAGTCGGAAGAGTTCACAGTTCAAGGTACATCGGCTAAAAATAAAAATAAACGCTTCAACGGTCTGCTTTCAGTGATTATTACCTTTTGTTATCTTTGTTATGACTCTGATTTTCTTTGGGTCATTTTGAACTCCCTGTGGTGAAGCTAATATAACGTCGTTACGTAACTGTTACAAGCTTTTTTGATTGAGCGTCTTTCTTATTCTTGCATTTCCTAGGCATATCATTTATTGCGCGTTTAACAATCAACATAATGAATCTGTGTAACACGTCGACATATATATAGTCAGTGTGTGAAGTGCAAAAATCACATGTTAACTGCTATGGCGCAACACTGCCTGGAGCGAAGTACTGTCCACCTTGCTCTCCCAGTAAGGGGCCGCACTAGACAACACCAGGTACTGCGCATTTACGATCTGCAAAGGTTATTGTCGATTCATCCGTGTCTGATTGGGAAATAGCATTGAATCTAAGTAATATTTCATGCGGAAGTGCGTTACATTACACAACCTAGCATACTGAGGGGCCCCCACTCGAACAAACAATATAACTGCGTGTTATATTTCGTTAGTAAGAATGTTTAATTGCGCGTTTAACAATCAACATAATGAATCTGCATAACACGTCGACATATATATAGTCAGTGTGTAAAATGCAAAAATTACATGTTAACGGCTATGGCGCAACACTGCCTGGAGCGAAGTACTGTCCATCTTGCTATCCCAGTAAGGGGCCGCACTCAGACAACACCAAGTACTGCACATTTACGACCTGCAAAGGTTATTGTCGATTCATCCGTGTCCGATTGGGAAATAGCATTGAATCTAAGTTAATATTTCATGCGGAAGTGCGTTATATTACGAAACCTAGTATACTTAGCCCGAGGGGCCCCCACACGAACAAACAATACACCTGCGTGTTAGAGTGAAGTCATTAAACCCGTGCAATAGATATTAGACTAATACACTTTAGTAGACCGTAATTTCATTGTTTTCTTTTGTGTCTATTTGACTATTACACGTTATTTGACTATGGATTTTTATTTAACGGGTTAAAAGCATCCACTCTATGCTTTGTTAGTAAAACTGTTTTATTGAAGCACAACGATTTTTTAATTAAATCCATTTTCAATTTAGCAGCTAAAACCATTCTTGCTTAACAAACTTACAAGCCTATTATAATATAAGACACTACAGTTCTATCATCTATCATCCTACAGAATAATCAAATAGAGAGTTGAACCCCCAATACGGTTTGTTCAAGTCTAATGGTGTTTCATCCCCAGGACTATTTCTTTTAGAACTAGCCTTAATCGATTCACTCAGTTTATGAATTGCTTTCTTAACCTCATCAATAGCAGATTTGCTGTTAATCTGTTTAGAAGAACAACATTTCTGGCAAGCATCATTAAACGGGAAAATAAGTACATAATCTCCAACTCTGTTACACAATTTCGTCTTCGACAAGACTTGAAATGAAGTTTCATATTTGTCTTTCCAATTCATCAATGACAGCTTTCTTGCACTTGTTCTCTTTGGTATTTCGTATGTTTTATTATTTGGGAGAAAGGAGTTTTTTCTAGGTAATCTCCTTAAAGATGGGTAGTTGCTCTTTACAAGTGCTTTATTTATTGATGGTGAAGATATTTGTCGTGATGAATCAATGCTTGCCGGCTTTCTTTGACCACAACAGCCAGAAAGATGTCTTTCTTCATTTTCATCCTCTCCATCGATGCTGCTTTCAGGATGTCCAAAAGTCTTATTTTCAAAATCAGTCAAAGCATATTCACTTTCACTTTGTTTGTTCTTCAAGTTGCATGCATCTGGTTGGTCGCAAACATTTTTGGCACTATGTAGAGCTGCATGGAATTCAAGAGATGCACTGCTTAACAAGGGTGAATGACTCACACTTGGTGCAGTGGTAGTGCTATCCATTAGGAGTTTACCTTCCCTAGTTACACTTGGTGTACTTTGTCTATTGACTTCATGGCATTTATCTGTAGTCATTCGACGCATACTATTCTTAAGATCTGTATGTACTTCAGTTGATGATACGTGATCTTTCCAATCATCATCATCATCCTCATCACCTTTAACATCCTGATTATCATTAGCGGTAATTTGTCTATCATTGGTAAATCTTGGATTTTTACCAGCACCAACTGCTGATAGACTACTTTCTGAAGCACTAGCAATTAGCTTTCTATGTTCAAAGCTTGAAGGTAATGGAGAAGGTCTAAACTTGGCACCCTGTAGATTCCTATTCCCACTACTGTCTGCAGTCTTTTGTCTTGAGGCTTGTGAATTGGTTCTGGGTTTGATGATTCTCTTCTTATCATTAGAATTGATTATGCAGTTACCATAGGTAGCTATGTCAGATTCTTTAAGATTAATGATCTCCAAAGTATCTTGTAGGAGAGGTTTTTTAATTGCTATGTCTAAAGCACAGTCCACACCAAGAGATGGTGAAAAGTTGACCTCCAACAGCCATGGTTTAAGGTTTGTATCGATTAAGACATCAAAGCCAAACAACTCAAAGCAGTTGGTACAACTTTCTTGCACCTCAGGGGCTTGGACAAGTAGGGTCAAAATAATGATGGCATTGATTTTATGCCACAATAGTCTATCGTCAATGTGATTTTGATGGAAATAAGTCCTTAGTTGTCCAATGCTCCACTTGCATCCACTTCCTATCCTTTCTTTATCTGTAGAATAACAAGGGCTTTCCTTATTGATGCTTGTGTTAGTAAGATGTGAGAATACATTGTCAAGGTAATTAAGGTCAAACTTCTCTGTTCCAAACCTCACCAACCCCTCATGGTATACATAAATGTTCAGTGGACGAAATGATGTTACTAAGACATAAATCCTTAAATCAAACTTATATCCAGCAATCAACAGTGGATTGGGTATGTATTTCTGCACAATAGTTGCACAATCATAAGTGAGATCACTTAGATTCCTGAAGATAAAGATTCCTTTACCCCTTGACTGGTCTGCTGGCTTGCATATCCAGGGTACAGTCTTTCCAGCTTCTTTCTGTTTAGTGTATTCCGACACAAACTTCTTGTAATCGTTAGGTAAATTGAACGATAATGGAACAAAGTTGTAGAGAAAATTGCCATAGATACCCTTCATTCGTCTTAAATTTCTAGCCAAACAGTCTTTTCTCGTTATGGCGATGGATTTAGGGAAATGATTAAGCCGTTGCCATGGACGACAAGCTTCAAAGTCACTCGTTCGAAACCCCGAAGTTTTCCACCAAAGATTCCAGTCATTTTCATCATCATCTTCATCGTATTCTTTCCAGCCAAGATCAAGGAATACATCTCGTAGAATCTCTGGGGCATTATCACAAAGTCGGAACACTAAACAAGCCATATTATAAGCTTAATCCTGTGTGGTCCAACTTCATATAATAAACTTCCACAAAGTTTTCTTACTTTGGTCTTGTTTTGATCTCAGGTCAGAAAGACCCTTGAAAACTGCTCGAGAAGTAAGTATATTCATCAATAAAAGTTCTTGTTGAGCGATTCTGTCATCGATCGATATAATGACCATGTTGTCGATCAATTAAGGTATCATGTTATACTTTACAAAGTGCATAAAAAGCCATGCAATAATTAATAATTGACTCTTTTGACGTCATAAATTTGCATAATTTATTCGTGCATAAATTAGCCAGCGGACATTCCACGTGCGGCACGTGGCTCGTCATTCAAGATGGCGGCCAAGGAAGCTCTAAAGTAAGTTGAAATAAAGTGTGATTTTTGTATTACTTGTTGACCTTATTCTTGATATTTTTACTTCTCACACCAAGTGATATCTAGCAAGGGTTATTAGTGATGTGTTGATTGCCTTTTTATAGACTCGTAGCTACAGTAAATGAAGATTCGGATGTGGAGGTGGACGATCAGCTGTTGAGTTCCAGTGATAATGTAAGTGCATACAGTCTTGATATTTGATTATATTTTCAATATTACTCGAAGGGTAATTGCCATTTAAGGTTCATGAAGCAGACATGTATGTTGTTGCAGTTGCGTTTGGCTGTGAGATATGATTACAGCAGGAATACTATGCGTAATGCCTACAGCAATCGTTGGCCTTCATCTGCAAATAATCCCATAAATAAATAACAAATACTTTTTATTTGTACGCAGTAGGCTTTCAAGCTATAAGCTTGTGGAGCCATGTATCCTCCATACACATCCCTTACATACACAGAGGGAGGAAAACCAGAGAACCTGGAGAAAAAACCCTTGTGACAAGGGAGAGAACAACGTGTTTACATCAAACAAACTCAATTCACTTATGGCATCTGCAGACCAGCAGACCAACCTGTTTGACTCACAGCAATGAAATACAATGCATTAGCAGCATATGTAACCCATTTTGTTATAATTCATCTTGTCGTTTATAAAGATTACTTTTATCTGGTGGTATTTCAACAGGAAAGTGATGGACAAGAAGAATCAAGGCACAGCAATGTGATTAAAATAATTAAAAATCTTGACAAAAAGTCATCTAAGAGGTAAATGTAACATTGGTTTGCACTATTCCCTGTCATGGATGGGGAAATGTCAGGGTTTAGATAACGAGAATGAACTTCTGACTTTTTGACTTCAAGTACCATGTGATCCTAATGTTCATTTATTAATAATGATAATAATAATAATAATAACTTTATTTTTATTGATTCATAAGGAAAAGAAATCAAAGATCTGAGCCAAACCTCAAAGTATCTGAATTTCATCTAAGCAGTGGTGGAGGTAATTATTTTAACTACTTACTTAATTTAGTATGGATCTCGATAAACATTTGATTAAGAAAATAAACACAACAATTGCTGGACGTTTCGATGACATGTTGTTGAAAATGATGACAGGATGTCATTGAAACGTTCAGCAATTCTTGCGTTTACTTTATTTTATTTTGTTTTATTATCATTACACCTTCTACGAACTTTGGTATTTATTTTAGATAATGAAAAAATTGACATCAAAGACTTGATTGGATCACTACAGAAGGAAGGCCAGTATGGAAAGCTCAAGAAGAAATTGGTAATTCAAATGGATATTAGATATTAAATAACGATTAAAGGTTAACCCTATTCACAGTTAATGCACTCATTTTACTTCTCAAACAACAGGCTAATTAGAGATAACTAGCTAAAAACTAGTGTGAGCTGCGTCGGTGTTTCTAATGAAACAGTAATGATAAAAGGGTAAATTTTACACTGTGAAAAGATGAAAAAACTTACTGATGTTTCGGACGCTAGTCCTTTGTCGGAGCAAAAGAGGCCAATTAGTAATCTTTACGTGACGGGGTGGCAGCCATTCTTGTAACAGTAGGTGTTATGTCTTTATTTCCTTTTGTTCACCAGGAAAGCATGGAAAAAAATGCTGCAACTCTTGATGTACCATTACCTCAACTAGAAACAAATAAAGTGAGTTAGTACTACCTTGAATGTTGTTAGTGTGTAGTTCCAGAAATTATCCATACCCACCCCACAGAGGAATTTTGAATTTCTGAAGGGTGGGGGGGTCAGAGAAAGAACAAAATTACAGACTTTTTATGGAAGAAAATTGGAATTTCCAGAGGTAGGGAGGGTCTTAGAAAAAAATTCCTCCGTGGGGGAGGTATGGATAATTTCTGGAACTACACAATGTAATATTATATAAATCACTCTTTTGTTCAAAATATAAGGTTCTGCTTTAACCATGAAATAGGTGTTAGTTCCCACTAATAGAATTTTTTGCAATTTGATTTAGAGTGACCACAAAATCAATGGTTCTGAGTGGCGGCTGGACTTGATAAAATACAAATGTATAACACATCAATTCCAACCCAGACTTGCAGCCATTTTTTTGTGGACACTCAAGTGAATTTTTTTTCGGTGAAAATCTATTCTATTGTTTTAATTTTCATTATGATTAGAGATAACTATGAAAAATGTAATCTTTCTATCTTACATTAGTAGTTATGTTCTCTTAGTATAATCTATTTACAACATAAACGTTTTTTAGATCCAAAGAACCATTGCCTTTGAAGAAACATCAAAAGAAGTTGGCAAATGGCAGCCCATTGTGAAGAAAAATAGAGAGGTAAAGACTGAAGGAGCTGCACAAATATAATGAGTATTATGCCATTGTATAACTGTTATGAATGTCGCGTTCTGATTGGTTTGGAGCATTTGCTTTATGAGAGCACATTGCACGCGCGCACTTTCTGTTACTTCATTCCTATCTATTATTGTAATTTGTATTTTATAACAGAAATAAAAAACTTGCTTGCTGTGCTGTGTGCATAAACCACTTGAGGATTGGCAGAACACTCAAGAAGTGTCCAAAAGCACTCCGCTACGCCTTGTGCTTCTCCTAACACTTTTCTCGTGTTCTGCCAACCCCCGCGCGCCTTATGACAGCACACAGTACGTGTGCTTTTTCTATTTCTTCAATTTTGTTCTACCTCTAACAAGATTAATATTTTATCTTTTCATTATATATTTTTCCAGGCTGAACATTTGTCATTCCCACTAAATCCTTACAAACCTCCTGAGATTACAACTAAATCTTTATCTGTTACATTCAAGGTGAGAGACTTTATTGTGAATAACATTGCTTTTGAACCACTGAAATCTAACATGAGTTATTGAAATTGTTTTTACAGCCAAGAACACCCCTAGAACAGGAGATTGCTGCTGTATTGAATGGAAGTTCTCACTTGATGGAAAGAAAAAATAATGAGCTTACAGAAGAAGAAGAACAAGCACTTCTTGCTATGGATCTTGAGGAGGTATTACATATTCATTATATAAGATGATAAGGTGCATTAGTTAGCTGTGTTCATATACACCTGGACCCATGTTGAACAAATGGCAGATAGCACTATCTGGATAAGGATTTGCTCATCCAAAAACACTATCCACTCTTTGGGCAACTGTTCACTGTTTCAAAAAATGTTGTCCGTAAGATATCTAAAATGGGTGATCTGAGGCTAAACAGAATATTTATGTTTAAATTTGTTCTTTCTAGCTAAAAAAATATGAAAAATCACATTTCTAACTAAAGGGTCATGCTTCATGTTTGAATCTAAAAGAAAACTATGCTGTGACTTTATGTAGTGACTTTATGCAGTGTGTTACCTAGTCTAATCTTTCAGATGTTTTTTGGAAAAGGTGTACATGTATGTTTGAGTTAGGCCCTGGCTAAACGAGGAAACATGTTTCCAGAAACATGTTTACCGCGCGCATGTTTTGTCAATGTTTCCCAGTTTAGCCACATGTGAAACATTGCTTCCAAGACGCAAAAAATGTTTTTACTGTGCGGCAGAAACATTACATGTTTCCAAGACGCATGGAAACATTGTTTCCCGATGTTTCCTGACAGTTTTGCCACCTTAGGAAACATTTAGGGAAATATGTTTCTGGAAACATATTTCCTCGTTTAGCCAGGGCCTTAGTGAATAACAACCTCTTGATGATCCCACATACAATACAATTACACACTTTTTATTGAATGGTTATACTATAACTAGTAGTTTATGTCATAAATCCATTTTAAAAGACTTGCTTTCATATTTCATTTCTTTAAAGGCAAAAGAAAGAAGAAGTGAACTACAGCGACTCAGAGCTCTACAGTCTTACTATGAAGAAAAATGCAGAAGAGCCAAAAAGATCAAAAGCAAAAAGTAAGTTTTGTATTTCATTTTTTCCGAACGACAGGATATCAAACCAATGATTGTTCTTGTGAGGTACTGTTTAACCACAAGATGAATGGTGATTCATTCAAAGATTGTATAGGTTAAATGGTTTTCCTGTTGAGTACTATGATGAAGCATGCCATATTATTTATTTCCACTGTTTTCATTGCTATGTGCTGATAGAGACAATAGTCACAACTGAAAAATTGGGCAACTCACTACTACCAATCAGAGTATGTAAAGATACCAAACAATATATTTGATTGAAAATATTCTATTGCCTGATTTCCCTGTTGTGGCTGTTGTCTTGATCAGTGTGCAGCAATCAAAATAGAGTATATAACATTACACATTAACTTACCTAATTAAGTGGAATAATATTTTGACAGATACCATAGAATCAAAAAGAAATCAGAACAGCGTGCTGCAAGCAAACTTTCCATTGAAGAACTCCAGTTAAAAGATCCACAAAAAGCTGCAGAAGAGTTAGAAAAGATGGATCGTATCAGAGCAGAGGTAAAATAAAAACAGCTGAAAGACCTTGAATTATTGTTCTTCAAATAAACTTTTTCTTTGATGTCTTCTTAGGAGAGACTTTCTCTAAAACACCGTTCCACTTCCAAATGGGCAAAGAATTTACTCATTAGGGGACACAAGAATCCAGAGGTAAGTCTTGAAACAGATCAAATGAAAATCAAGTTTTGTTTTCTTTCTTTAGCTCACCATCTTCCATCGGTGATTAAAATTATGAGACATGAGCTGGGATTCCCCTTTCTTGGGCTGGGAAAATGGAATGCTATGCACTGGGAATGGGATTCACGAGAAAAAACCGAATGGGATTAATATTTGAACAAAACATAGGCTTGGACTATGGGTTTCGGTCAAAATGGGGGCTGGCACTAAATATGATTAGTACCCCTTCCCCTTCAGGACCCTCATATAACAATGAAGTTTAACCTTATTAACTCAATAGCTTTGTTAGATATTTTCTCTAAATATGTCTCTTCTCTCTACTCAGGCTAAGAAAGCAATACAAGAACAACTTGAATTGAGTAGAAAACTTACAGAGAAACAGCAAGTACACACAGAAAGTGATGATGATGATGATGATGACACTAATGCTATTGACCCATCAAGTATGTTTGGGAATCTAAAGGCAGATAGTAACAACCCTTGGAGTTTGGATACTAATACTCGTCATGAGAAAACAACTGGTTCTGTACAAGACAATGGTAAGTTAGCATAGAATATGTTAGGAAAGGGAAGCAGCGGTGGCTTGCGCTGCTAATGCCTCGCCTCTCACCAATGCGGCCCGAGTTCGAGTCCTGCCGATCTCAATGTCGTATATGAGTAGAGTTGTTTGTTGGTTCTCTCCTTTGCTTCGAGGGTTTTGGTTCTCCCGTTTTCCTCCCTCCTCAAAAATCAACTTCTAAATTCTAATTCGATTTTTGGGCTTTCACTTAGTTTGGAACCTAGCTCTGTTGTGATTGTCCCACGCTGTGATACAACAGCGAAAGCTTTGTAGATTTTTGTTTAGATTTTTTAGAAAGGAATGCAGTAGTGAGACAATGATGAAAGTGCAGGGGTCCTGAAATCAGTCATGGTATGTGGGCTGTACTGACATGACAGCTGACAGCATTGCATATGCCTGCATGCGTAGATGAGGTCACGATTGTCAAGTCAGGATTCTGCTTTTCTGAGTCGTTCATCAACTGTCACTTGACGTTTAACATGTCATTTAACAATTCAGAGTGCTTTGCAATTAACATTACATTGCTTCTTCGCACAATGAAGTGTAATCAAAGTAGGTTTTCGTGGACATCAGTCAAGGCTTTTCCATGAAATTCCAGACACTTGCCCTTGGAAACTTCATTTTTTCCGACTTCGTTATGGAAGCAATTTGATCGATGTCCACCAAAACCTACTTTGTTATGACGGCAAATTGTGCGAATTCGCGCGTATAATTGAGAAGCGTTGTGATCAGCCTTTAGATAGCTCGGCTTGCTAGAGTAGTTTTACCTCAATAATCTTGAATGTGATAAGATAAGTAAGGCAAACTTAAAATGAATTCCATGTCTTGTGTTTAAGAAACGACGGCCGGTTTCAAGCGTATTCCAGCTATTAATGTACAAGAAACGACAGAGAAGGCGAACAATGAATCAGAAGATGACAGTGAATCTGCAGAAGACAATACTGAAGATGATTTTGAAATAAAAGTATCAAACAAACCCAAGAAAGGGAAAAAGAAATCGAAGAAGAGAAAAACCAAGGACCAAGACTGGATAGAAAAGGAAACACCGAAGAAAAAAGAAAGTTATAAAAGTAAAGTGAATAAGGTTAAAACTAAAGTAAAGGGAAAAAGTAAAGACGAAGAAGAAGATGATCTATTGGAGATTTTAATGCCGTCTGACGAGGAATCAAATAACGACAACGAGAAGCCGCCCACCTCAGTTGAAACATTCAACACATCACATGCAAAGGGGAAATCTGTCATCGTTGATCCAAATAAGATATTCCAAATGGAAGAATACAATTCCAACAAAGTTCTAACAGATAACACAGACAACAGCGATCATATCCTAAACATACAACAGGCTTTTGCTAACGATGACGTCATTGAAGAATTTGTTCGCGAGAAGGAAGAGGCGATGGAGTCTTCAAAAGGCAAGGACCTCGATCTGACATTACCTGGCTGGGGAGACTGGGGAGGACCTGGTGCGAAGGTTACCAGTAAAAAGAAGAAGTTTGTAAAGAAAGCCGAAGATCCACCGCCTCGTAAAGACAGAAACCTAGCACATGTTATCATCAATGAAGAAGATGACAAACGTTTGGCCAAGTTACAGGTAAGGTCTACATTTGACTCTATTAGGGCTGTGTTGTAATTATTCCTCTTACCTTGGTCAACAGCTCGCACATTTGTTGAACCAGGTAGAGTTCTGTTTTTTCAATGATTGACTCTCCCAAAACGACGTTCCGCACAACAAAATTGCTAGACCTTTTTCGAAACAACGGCTAGTGTAACTGCGACTGAAGCGACTGTAATCACAGTAAGTGTTTGTGATATGGAAAGACCAAATAGGATAAAATCTTAAAAAATGAAAATAAAATAAAAGTAAAAGTTGTTTTAAGGTAAAAGTGTTAGTGTAATAAAGAATAGGCTAAAAACTAGCAAACAGCATCAGTATACGATGCCATGACGAGGCTCAAAGATACTTTATCAATACGTTATACTTAGAGGATACGTTTTTAGCTTAGATTTAAACTAACATAGATTTACAGCAGATCTGTTGTCAAGGGGAATAGAATTCTACGATTTCGAGAGGCATAGTACGTAACCGTGTTTGAGTATGGAATTGATAGCAGCAGCTGGTTGGAGGAAGGTATTAAGACCAAGTAAGATCATGTCTTTCCAACATGACAAATATTTTAGACTTTCCGGCAATACACAGTAATGCAATCCTCCTGCATGTCAGTAAAGTACAGGTCATAAGGAAGAGAGGCAGACAGATTTGCCGCCTAGATTGGCAGAGAACAGTTCTGACGTTTATCATACCTTGATTGATAGGTGAAGAATATACCTCATCTTTACATGAGCTCAGAGCAGTTCGAGAAGAGTATACGTAATCCTGTTGGTAAAGACTGGAATACTGGATCAACAGTCAAGCAACTAATCAAACCTCGTGTTCAGACCTTGATGGGATCGATTATAGAACCTATTAAACCTACCAAGAACCTGAAAAGATCTAATGCACATAGCAGCGTTGACAAGAAAAGATTAAAAAAGAAAGACGAAGGATTAACCATTTATAATTGAGAATTAATGACTAGTAATAGGATTAAAAGGAAAACTGTTTTATTTGAATGAAATAAACTATAACGACGTATTCGAAGTTATTGTACTGAAAAATGAGATATATATCATCAAACCTGAGTAACGGTTTGAAAATCAATCGGTCTTTCTGTCAACCATCTTTAATATTGCAAACGTAAACTTGTACACTCAACTGCATTTTATTATGTTGTGTTTGGGAATCAAGGGTGTTGTAGGGTGCGGCACTCACGCCTCACCTTTGACCACGGGGTCTAGTGTTTGATTCCTGGACTCAACATCATACATTATAGAGAACCAGGGGGCGTAGCAGTAGTGCACTCACCTCTCACCTTTGACCACGTGGTCTACACTATAGAGCATCAAAGGTGGTGTAGAGTGCGGCACTCGCCTCTTACCTCTGGGGTATCGGGTTCTATTCCCAGACTCGGCATCAGATGTACCTGGATAGTTTTTCATGCGTCTCTCCCTCGATTCAAGGGTTTTTCTCCAGCCAGGTTCTCCGTTTTTTTTTCCCTCCGCAAGACCTAACAAGCTAAATTCCTATTTAATCTGTGAGTTGGCCGTGCCCAACCCATCAGAGGTTGTTTCAAGGTATTGATAAAAGGCGCCGCATCACCGTCCTGTGTACGGCCTAAGTATGTCGCGGAGTTGCCTGTTTTGCAATTTTTTCCAACTATTCATAGGTAAGATAAAGCGATAACTACAAAGCAGAGGTAGTTTGGTTGTTAAAAGTTTTTATTGTCGATCATGAAAGAAAAACTGATGGTTGGCAAACAGCGCCAACATTAGGTAAGATCTATAGCACCAACAAGGATAGCTAAAGTCTTGCTGGATGGGCTTTGCAGGGCATCAATTCATTATCGGCGTAGTGACACAGAAAGCAGATTGATAGCCTTTGATTAACACTGAGACATGCTATGCTGGGTTGCTCACCATTTACCCGGAAAAACCGGAAATTCCGGGTTGAAAAACAAATGGTATTCTCTACTTTCACATCCCCATAATACTTTGCGTCTTTGGGGATAACCAGAGGGTAAAAACCCACTTATTTTGCTGAAGGCTGATCAAACAATGTTGACAATACCTTGTTTGGTATCTAAAAATAAAATGAAGAAGTAAAAAAACAGAAAAAGATAGAAGCTTGAAGACGTTTAAGGTAAATTTTAAACATTTTTTCGTAAGTCAATACATTTTCTGTAAGACCAAAACTCTTGATGATCTGTACACGCAAAAATAAGTTGGAATAAACTGATAATCAGTATTGTACAGATAAAAGCAGGTATAGTATAAAATCAATTAAGAAACCTTTCAATTTGGGACACTTTTTTGATTGGTTACCCCCCAAAGACGCAAGGCATTATGGGATGTTAAAGTAGAGAATGTATCATTTCGATCGAAGAGTTCCGGAAAACTCGGTCTTCCTATTGAGGTAATCCACTTTTCCCGCTCTTTTCGATTCTTCCGGAAGACGCGTGTACAATTTTTCGAAAGTCAAAGTTTCCCGCTTTTTTTAACCATCAGCAATGAATAACCACCCGGATGGATTGGTTTAAATGGTAAGCACCCCCGCATCGCAGCAATAATGATCAGTAGTACTAATATATTAATTACTGATTAACAAGCTATAATTCCCTGGGTTATTAAGCTAAGTAACTGCCCCTGCGTGAGGTGGCGGCCAGGCTGATTGCATGAAATCTAGTAGATCTAGTTTTAGTACGAATGTCGTTCGTTTGTCTAATTAAAGGCTTATTTGATTTTTATTTTATCTTTAGCTTCTTCAACTAAACTCGCTTCATTGGTTAGGAGTCAAACACATCAGGTGGGGTTAATTCACAATGAGTTTTCTGCAACTCGCATTATGTTAAAGTCAACTCTCGTCTGCGGACAACCCCGGCCGATATTTACATACCCCTCGTTCTTGCGGACAGGAGCAAAATGTCCGGTAAAAGTACTTACAAAGAAATGGCTCTCCCTATTGGGGACGCTCGTTATTACTGGTAGACCAAGTCACAGTACCGAGGGTACCCGCTGTAACGAGAGATGACTGCACTTAATATTATTCTTAAAATCTATAAAACTTTAAAACTAGCTTATGTATGCTTCTATGCAAAATATATCTATGTATTGAATTTTTAACATCAAGCGAAGTACGCATGCGCAGGCGCAGATTTGTTTCACTATAGTAGAGGCGCATCTTATAATACAGAGCTGGTCATAATCGATATATGCTCTCCTTTTTATGCAGTATTAGACAAAGCTTTTGGTATGATGAATGTAATAGGAATAGGATGATGTTCTCACGCATTAGCTTTGAAAATCGTTATGAATAGTTGTTTTAGTAGTGGAGTTTGAATACTGTAGTCTTTTTTTCCTTTTCTGTGTGAATAAATTGACCGTCAGAGATGACTTGAACAATGACTGCAAGTCTACCGTAGTCCATACTAGTATTATGATCCAGGGTTTAGTCTGTAGTTAGATGGTTAGGTGTGTTCGTCTAGGTGCTTATCCAACGAATAAAGGTAAGCAAAGGTTTTTCCGCAATGAACACAGGAATACTTATTATCTCGCATGTGAATTCTCATGTGCCTCATGACGGTTGCGCTTTGCGTAAAAGATCTTCCACAGTATTTACATTCAAATGGCTTTTCTTTGGTATGTGACAGTTCGTGCTTGTTTCTCGTTGATGATTGGGCAAATGTTCTTTTGCAGAACCTGCAGCTAAATGGTTTCTGTCCAGTGTGAGTACGAACGTGATTGGCCAATGTAGTTGTCTGTGCAAATCTCTTTCCACACAGGACGCAATTAAAGGGTTTTTCTCCGGTGTGGGTTCGTAAATGTGCAGTCAGGACCCCAGATTGTGCAAAACGTTTACTACAGTAGCGACACCTGAATGGCTTCTGGCCGGTATGTGTTCTGATGTGGTTGTTTAGACTTGACAGATGAGTGAAGGCTCTCCCACAATGACTGCAGAAATAGGATTTTTTGCTTGTCTTGTCTGGTTCTTCAATTATATCGTACATGGCCTCCCAATTTCTCTCAAGGCTGTTTTTGGTGTCTGCTGCCAAGTTATCAGGTGGTGTTGTATTTGTTGAAGTATAATAACTATGAGATTGAGGATGACATGACGCCTCACCAGAATCACCCGGCGAAGATTCCTGTGTGTCAGCATCAAGCAATTCTGCTGCAGCATTTACCCGAGGCTCTTGCCTACGAAGTACCTTGAGGTTGGATTCATAGGCATTGCTTTTAGATTTCTTCTCATTAGGATTGCTAAATGCGCTGTTGACGACAGTTCTCGTGTCGTCTTTCATCACGATGTTCGCCTCTTGGCTGTCAGACTCTTCTTGCTTGAATCCAGTATATATGGGAGAACGTGGCATCTTTCCTTGGTCAGGTGACTTCTTTCTATGCACGTCTTCACTGTTAATGGTATCACGTGCTGTATTGTCCCAGTATGATTCCGATGACTCATCTTTAGTGTTTCCCGTCAAACAAGCTGTACAATGAGAATTTGCCTGGCTTGTTTGATAGCAGCATTTGTCACCTATAACAGATGTGGTGCATAACCGTGGATGCACTTCCCCCGTGGCTATTTGCTGACAAATCATACAGTCGTGCTGAAATTTGTTTTGGTTCACTTTTATTACTCGTGGAGGATCGATGGTGTCTTTGTGAAGCCTATCTTCTTCATTGTACCAGTGATATCTTGATACCGAAGTCTCCTGATTCACGCCTGCTCCAGGGATTTTTTCATTGTTTCCATCGATAGCTAAACTAAAGCAATCAATGATAATGGGATTTTTGGGCGAAGATCGCTGTGCCGTTATTTCATTTTGCGTTTCAAAGCTATAATTGGGCAGCTGTGCAGTAGGGTAACAGATGTCCCGCTCAAGGTGTGGGCTTGTCACTTGTTCTTGGATCACGAGGGGATAACAAGGCAAGAAATAAGGTTCACTGTACTTTTGAAGGTTACCTTGACAACAAGACCTATAGCACCGGCCACGTGCTGGGGTAAAAGCAGAACCTATTTTCTCTTGTGTGGGGTAGCCCAGCGAGTGTCTTGGCTCACTCAGGGGCATATCCACGAGACGGCTGGCATGTTTTCTAGAACCCTCTATTGGCTCTAAATGCCGTGCTATTTCATGTTGTTCAGCGGCTGTCTTTGATCTTGAGGAATAATCATTTCCTTGGATCAAAGTGTTTTCTCTCAGATCTTGACGATGGTCGTTTCCTGGTCGTGTTGCTAAAGCAAGTGATGGTAGTTGGTCATCATGTGTTGAATGGTACGTGCTTTGTATTGGTTCCCTATATTCTGGCCAATACTTCCTAGGGCGACCCCTCTTTATTATGACTTGCTTGGGAGACAAATTAGTACGATATGGATTTAGTGTTGAATCTTTTTCCCTGGTGTTATGACTTTGGTAGTAATCAATATAATTCCCGTGAATATCGCTACCAACGATTAGTTCTCTTCGCTCATCACCCTCATCGAAACACCTTGTCCTTGAAGCACAATCGGAATCCATATTGAATCCTAAAGAATAAAAGTCTAAAAATTAAAATACGCACACATACATATCATGATGATAAATATATATTATTAGAGTATTATTTGGGATGATGCAACATATTACTAACAAGTTTCATTGGGTCGTGTTATGAGGCTTGGTTATGGCCAAAACAAGACGTGATCTGTTGTAACAACAGACTGCATCAGGCAACTAGCATTGGGTTAGGTAATAAACTAGTCATTCCTCAGCAAAAGGGGGGGAAATGTTTCCTTCATGCAAATCTAACCGGATAAGATACATTACTGTTAGAAAAAAGCCTGACTGGCACGGCACACTGACTATATCAGAAAACCTCGTTGCATCCATTTGAATATCACGAACAACTAACTAATGCATTTTTCTTACGGAACATATATACGCAGCAAAAGAGTCGTTTGAATAACAAACATCGTCATCGTCAGCTAAATGAACGTGTGTGGATCACATAGTCAGTTTAGACCAAATCATTTTCAGTTTTTCTGGTCTGCAAGTGAGGTATTAATATGGTATTACTAAGGTTAAGTATTGCTATGGTTCAGAACTTGTATGACTGACCGCGTTTTCTTGTCATGGTAGAAAGCAAAATTAAGATGTACGAGGAAGGAATACCGTTGATGAGAAAGATGCCTTTAACTTTGTTGACTTTCAGTTTGTCCTCAGTACGGAAGGCTGAAGCAGTGTCCGAAACGCACAGGAGTGTTTAAAATATATTCCAGTCTCACCATCACAGTCTACACTGAAGTTATACTTGCTAGCTTAGTTGATAAAAAATTCTTGTAGTTGCAACGACAGCTGATCATGAATTGGAAAATAGGATTTTTTTCGTGTCTACGAATGGGAGCGCAAAATAATAAAAAATTGTACCTGTTATTCAGTTTACTCCGTATGTCGGACTAGGAATGACCAATATTGTTTTTTTCTTAGATAAATCAAAGATTATTCTTGACTCTTGACTTTAGATCTTTCTCATGCTATAATACGGAGTGTAGTTATGATGCGAAGGCACGTATAGCATGTCAGGGCCTGTTTTGAGATAATCTAGACTGATTAGGTAAAAACCCTTACCTCCTGAAGATACAGAAATGTTCTTTAGATGAGGCAATCTGATTATTTCTTTTTACACCACATTGTGGTGTAATCGTCATCATCCTTAAATTTTCTACGAGTTTCTTTCATCCAGCCATAGAAATATCCATTTTGTTGGTATATTGTCTAATTATTTATTTCAAGCTAGTTTTCTTATATTTTCAACTAATAGATTTTTGTGAGTCAGGTTCAGTGAGAAAACAGGCAGTATTGATGAATGCCGGTTTCAAGTTCAAGCTCCATGCTGCTTTGCGCTCAATGATTCTATGGAAACTAATTGTACTCTCTATCTTGACAATGATGGTGTGAATAATATGTGGACGTGACAACGTTTTTAACTGAGAAACTAATTTTACTTCACGACTCAAGAGCAAAGTGTATTTTATCAGGGTTGCTAGAAAAAAGGTTTATTCGAAACACTAAAATAGTGACACCGTAGAGTCAAAAAAAGCTGGAATGTTCTTCACTCGGGTTGTTTTGTATGACGTGTTGAACCCCCTGGGCCAGAAATATAAAAACACAGTTGAAAGACGAGACTTTCTTATTACTTTGCTTTTTTATGACAACTATAACGTTACGACGTCGCCTGTCGGTATAATTAAAAGCTGCAATTTATTATTGGGATCGCTGGATCAACAAATATGCCAAATACTGATACTAGAATATTTAGGGATAGCTTTGTTATTTACAGGGCTTTAACGGCTGTTCAGACCATTGCTAAAATTGATGTAGCGGCAAAACTCAAAATTAAACTCCGCAACACTAAATTCTTGATAAATTGTGTATGAAGGTGAGGAGAAATTCAAATTGAATGAAGCATAAGAGAAAAAAAATATATAATCAAAACAGACTATAGCCCCAGCTAAGAACAGATTACTCATGAGAGACCCGATATTGTCTTATCGGTATAGGAGGGCGGGCGAATATTTTTTAGAAATGAAGACGACGTGAATGACATTTCAAATATCTTTTTCTGCCATCAAAAACTAATTCTAAAGCAAGTTGTTTGTCGAACTGGTCTTAATGAGGGCTCCAAGACTCCATAATAGGGCCGGTCCACTTTCAGTGTGTGGACGTTGGTAAACTTGAGTTATTTGATTTTGGGCCATAACATTACTTGCAGCATTTGCGGATTGTTGGAGCGTCAAACAACTCCAAAAACAAGATTATATAAATATTTTTTTCTAACACAAAATGAAAGTCGCCTTCATATCATCTTTTTGAGCAGTTGTGGTGCTGTTGATTGGCAAAAGAAAGAAATGACGACTAACTAGTAAATATCTAAGTCGCTGAAGTCTGCCTAAATCCTAAACTGAATAAATAAGTTCCTTATCTTGAATCTAATTTTCGAAGTTAATAGAACTTTGATTTTGATTGAATGGGTTAGGGATAGGTACATACACGGATTCGCGGGATTTTGTCTGGATTAGAAAGTTCGTCTTTTAAAATAACTGACTAAGAAAAATTTTTGAACAGTATTTTTGTCGTACTGACGTACTGACGGAATTCGCCTAGGACAAAAAGAATTAATCAAATAAATAAAGGAAATAAATAATATATAGATCGTTGTCAGAGAAAAGAATGTTTCTGCAAGTTTTGATTAAGACATGACCCTGAAGTGAGTTTTCATTATCTTGATATTATTTAGACAAAAGTTATATAGCATTATTCGTGGTATTGGGTTGATGTCGCGCAATAAGTTGAACTTGCAAGGGGTCCCTTCACCTTGCATTGTGATTGGTCAAGACGCCGAGACTCCCCTCAAGCAAAAACAACATTGAATAAAGCAACTATGACCACTACGAGTTGAATTGATTACGTAGTCTGTTACACATGCAAATGTTTGGCACCAGATGTAGTCCTTAGTATTAAGACAGCTTTACTGAGACAGTGATGGATTATTGCTGGATAATCATTCATTAATATCTCAGTACAGACCTTCAATCTGTTTGTTAGCCTTTACTGAATCAATGATAAACAAATCGGGTTTGCTTTACTTTGAAGTTTATTAAAGAAATATTTCGTATGGCAAAAAGTGCAATATCGCAGGGCTTGAAGTTCAATCGAAGGATTAAGAGAACAAATTTCAGTGACAATGTACCTAATGTACGCTGTCAGCACTTTATTTTTTCTAACTTTTTCATGTTGCTTTGCAATGATAGTTAGCGCACAGGGTGAAGTATTTTCCCTGTATAGCTAACATTTGTTTTGCTTCACTAAACTCGTTTCTTGATCAACAGACAGTAGTAGTCTGGCTGCATGCCGGCTATATATATTTTTCAATATTTCCCATTTATATGCTTTTTTATCCCTTTTTCACACTTAACTCAACTTGTTTGTTTTTTCAACTTGTTTGTTTTTCACTCAAGTATTCTCATTTTATTTGTGTCTGTTAAGAGTTGTGGCATAAAAATACAGTAGTGGCAAAGATACGTCAACCATGTCTTTTGGGAAGACAACATCATAATGTTTGAACAGTTTCGAGTGCACCAAATGATTGAAAGTTTTGACATTTAAGTAGATGTTTGAAAGTTTTTCTATTTCGCACCACGAACAAAGAGGTTCTCATTTTGCGATGTCAGTGTAGAGTACGGCTAGAAGTGGATGGCTTAACAAACTACACATGGTCACTGCAACTCATAGGTCGCGGTCATACGTAAATCAAGAATGTTAGAAAACATTATATGTACTGTTGTAATTATCGAAAACATGCAACACTGTACCTTACCGCATACACTTGTGTAGAAAGGTGACTCACAAGCAGTTTGTGGATGAAGTAGCTGTATGACGGATGATGACTATAAAGAGCTGTCTGTATGTGCCAGTATACCTCGTTTCACACCCAGACTTATATTGGAATTTATTAAAAATTAGATCATCCATGTCAAAAGAAACAAATACATAGTTGCCTCTATTTTGTTTTTCAACTCGCAGCGAATGATAGTGTAGCAGACAAGGTAATTATAGTTTGACAATAGAATGTTTATTCATCGTGTGGGATCGATATTATCCACCATGGGCTTTCTGACACTGCAACAACAACAACGAACACCAACCAGATGACGAATAAAATTGAACAACAAAAACGATATTTTACGTCAACAAGATGGAATATTCTAGTGTGACAACCTGAGGTATTAGATCATAGCCTTAAGGACCCCTGTCAAAATGATTGAAAAACAAGAGAGAACAATAAAGAGTCAGACAGCTTAACCATCATGATATATTTAAAGAATCATGCGTGCGGCGTAGGGGATTGGTTAAAGTGCTTTGATTGGCATGGTTATGATTGCATATCGCGTTGGTAACATACTTTAGCAAGAGACTTCTATTTATGATCTTAAGTGAAGCACTTAATCAGCCCCTCGATCCAAAAGATCCTTTTAATTTGTAGTGATTATGAAATCGATAAATTCTAAGATAGACAGATAAGAAATAAAACAAAATCACTGTTACAACTCTACGTAACACTGTTGAAATATTCTTTCTATCACTGGAGAACATCAACTCAAAACCATTCGCTTGGTAGACGATTCTTGATCATAAGCTTTAACGTTACTAATTAATCAACGTATAGTCGCCTTATAAGCTATTTTATCAGTTCCGCATTCGAATTCCAAGTATAGCTAGCTTAACTCTGGCGATAGAATGAGTTTGAAAGATGCGGACTTCTTGTATTGTTGCCCTTACTGCATGGCACTAGCTTATCGCACTGATAAAATGTTTTGGGCAAGAAGACGACCAAATAACTGTTAAAAAATGCCGGCAGCGTTAGCACTACTGTAGCCTGTTGCCACGTATATATATATTTCATCAGCATCAACTGGTTCACATCGTTTCAAATCTTTTCGGGTGATGAGCCATAGTCTAATGGCCGTAATATAGGTTTTTAGTTATGGTTGGCACTGAAGCAGCAAAGATCACGATCTTTACTAAACCTTTTTGTTTGCCGCACCAGAAGTTAGTGTAGCACCCTTCAGGGCAAAGTGAAGTAGCACAAGTTAGTGTAGCACCCTTCAGCTTTAGCTCACCATTCACTAACTCTTAACCAAGGTTAAAGAATATTGGCGCCGTTGTGCTATGGTTTTACTAACATATTAATTTTGTGCGAGTCTCTGCTAGTAAATCTTTTGATTTGTATGACTGATTTTCAAATCATGATTATCTTTGCTGTATAGTATGTATTTTGTTCTCTACAAATCTGGGAAAAAGTTTCATATTGACACTTCTTTCTCTAAACCACACCTGTAACTAGATCACTAGATCCTTCAGACAACAAGAGGTTCTCAGGTTTCTAGACGATAGCTATTTTTCTTTCTTATTTTAATGAGCAAAACAAAAGATACTAATTACAATAAGTGTGGAATTAATAAGCAGTGAAACCAAGCTGCGCGTAGTGACTGCTGCTGGCAGACGTAATAATTACACACTTTGAAACGCCTTGGAAATATTGAAAACAATAAGATTATATAAATATTTGCATTTCATTTACACTTAAGTCTGAAAAAGAACTACTTGGTTTCAGAGATTTATCTTCTTCCTCTGAATCCAAAGGGGAAACGTTGCTCATGATACAAATTACGTTGACTTGGAAATAAATAGTTTTATAAAATAGTTAAAAGAAAACAAGTCTTGTTATGTTTAAGGCGCGATATTAAACACGGAACAGTTTTCTTTGCCATTTGTCTCCCAACGGCGCTGCAACACCAGTTGCTTGGAGCATTGCGTTGTAACCTAAAGCGAAAAAATGTTACGAGACTCGTTGCTGCAATCGTTACGAAAAGTATAAATCGTTTCTACTTTTGGCAACGATTGAGTCTGCGCTGCACCGTGATATCGCTCTTTTGTCGCAACGCTGTTGCGAGACAAGTTGCAGAAAAAATTGCACCGTGTAATGGCGCCTTAAACTGTCGTATCAACTGTGCGCGTGCGCAGACCGTGAGCAATCCGTCCAGTTGATGGGATAAAGTAACATGCAAGGATTAGACAAAAGTGCTGCTGTAATAGCATTGCATGGAAGAGTTTCAATAATCACCCTATTTTACCATCTTTATTGTATCTTGTGTCCTGCTGATTTCCTTTATAACACGTACCAATTTGTCAGTTTAACTATTTATTTTTCATACTCTTAGTTTTTAGTCTTCTTTTTGTCGAGGAACTATTCAATATTTAGTTGTTTCAGCCGAGTCTGGAATTATTACTAGTTAGAGTGAAGTACAACCCGTGAAATAGATATTAGACTAATACACGTTACACTAATATTGAATACACTAGAAGGAAATGCACCGTGCCTTCTAAAGAATCTTTTAAAGAAAACCAACGAGGTGCATAATTATGGCTTACGCAGTTCTGATTCAAACTTAAATTCCCTCTACCCCTTTCTGAGTCCTTGAAGCGAAGTACTTAAACCGCGGAGAGTAATGAGCAGTGCTATAGAAGTACTAATAGCTTTTAATTCTGTTTTTTTTAATAGGTAGGCTAATATGCTGAATTATAGCTTTAATATTACTCACATGTTGTAATTTTCTTTTTATTGTTGCCGTTGTTTCTCTTTTATTCTTTGTCTCAAAGGAAAAAGAGAGTGGCACGCGACTGAACCGGTAATATTAGAGAGTTTTAGATTTACGTTCACGGCAAACGTGAAACGTCAGTTGA